GGAAATTAAATTCTAACAGACATCTGCATGCTCCCAGTGGTTAAGTACATTCACGGATTCTTATAAACACACAATAATGCTTTCTAATTGGGCAATAATTTTACATTATGTTTCAACTGGAAAAAAAAATCACTAATCTTAAAGACAAATCAGAGACTGCTGCTGAGTGAAGCACTCTGTGAGCTTAAGAAACACGACCCCCTACACAGAAACAATTCATGCTAAAGATCCCATTTTGGAGGGAAGTTTGAGAAGAGTTCTGAAGGATATCGGGATCCCTATATATATGATCTCAAAACACTTTACAAATGTCTATAAGGCAAGCAAAGAATGCTTAGGGACCATTTTACTCAGAACTTACTTACCTTATTTTCTGTGCCCTTTCAACCATACATAAATTGTTTGTTTCTTCCGTTAAATTGTGTGCTCTTGAGCTGTTTTCTACCTAGCAATGGTTGCGGTTCATATCCATCCATCTATCCAGATTTAACATATGTGGTGTAAGCAGCCAAGGGACCAGCATTTTATTAATCATAAATAGTATGATAAATAGCCTAATCACAGACATAAGCTGCATGGATGGTGAGGAAAGACCTTAGCACAGCAACCACGAAGTCTGGGCAAAACACCAACATCTTTCTGCAGCCTATCTATATGCTTATGGCCCAGTCCTAACAAAAAGTAATTGACTGAATGTAAAATTGGTGGCTTATGCAAAATAGAGAAAATATTTCACTTAAGATTAAATTTTTTTCTATCTTAAAGACACTAGATGAAGCAATTAAATAATAATGTTTAACATCTATTATATAAATATTCCCATATATATGTATGTGCATACATATAAAGAAAAATATATGCATGCATATTCAGAAGAGAAAGTTATCTGAGACAGGGGAAGTTCAAATTAGATGTTTACCCTGTTACAGTGATCAGGCACTGGAATAGGTTGCCCAGGGAGATGATGGAGTCACCATCATCTTAAGTGCTTAAGAGGCATCTGGACCTGGCACTGGAGGATACGGTTTAGGGTTTAGGGGTTACAGCAGAGTGACAGGTTAATGGTTGGACTCGATGATCTTAGAGGTCTCCTCCAACCTTGATGCTTCTATGATTTTATGATTCTGCTAAAGAAGATGCAACCAGGAAAGTAGGTTCAGAGGAGAGGTGAGGGTAAATCCAGAGTAGCTTCCTCTTCCATTGGGACAGACATCTTTCTGAAGAAGAGCCATCCCTCCTTTTGCTCCCACCCACAGTCCTGTGAGGTAAGACAGTATTGTTCTCACCTTTGGAGACAGCAAACACAAACATATAGGATAAACCTTATGTGGATATTTAGACATACAGTCTCCCGTTGATTCCAAAGGCTAATAGAGAGACAAAAATATCTTATGTCAACCATCCCCTAAGAGACTTCCAAGCACTAAAAACAGGTCTGACAGTGTATGAAAATCCAAGTTTCATGCTACCACCTTGACCACAAGGCTATTCTTTCTTTTCTGTCTGTACACCCAGGGCTCCAACTGAGGATCTGTGTGCAACCCCTCAGGAAAAAGACAGAGTCAAACTGCAGGCAAAGTCAGCCTCGTGCTGCAGCACGGGAAGGGACAGTATGGGGGGTGCAAGGAAGAGGCACAAGGAGCTGGACTCACAAGGAGGACTGCAGAATGAAAAATCATAAGCATCTAAACACCAG